GGTAATCATTGGATGTGACTTGACCTGCCTAAGATAGCAGGTTTGTGATATCTGTTGATCTCCACATACCACACTAACTCCTGTCGGGGTATAGAACTTCAGCTTGAGGTGAGGGATAGAGGCGACAATCCCAAAAATTGACTGAAGTGGCCTCCCAAAGATAGCATTGTAAGCCAATTCTGACTTTACAACGATGAACTGAATGGAGTGTGTAGACTGTAGAGGAAATTCTCTAAGTATAATTGGGAGACTGATTATCCCTTCTGCTCGTACAGGTCGATTATCAAATCCATACAAAGGACCTGCAACAGGTTGAAGCTTTTCTCTTGAGAGACCCATGTTAATAAAAGAAGAGTAGAACATGATATCTATATGTACAGAGCTTCCATTTTTCACAAGAATTCTTTTGACATTGTAACATGGGTTACCTATGCCTACATTGATGACGAGCATATCTTGATGAGGGGTTTTTACTCCTAGATCAGAATCGTCAAAGGTGATAGAGTGATGATCTATACGAGCCTTCTTTGGAGTTGGATTTTCATCTACAGCAAAAAAGACTCGATCAGATAACAATGGGCCTCTAGCGATTGTCTCAATTTCACCAACTACTATTCGGTTATTCATTGGTTGTCTCTGTTGTTAATTTTGCCCCACAGTAGGATGAGTTTTCTCTCGGGTAGGTGAATCTCGAATAAACTGTTGAAGATAGCCTTGATGTATAAATCTTTGAATCTCTTCTTTTAGTTTCCTACAGGCTTCGATAATGTGGCCACGCCTACAATGAAAGTGAGAGTACCGATCCTGATTTCCTGTGTTCGGCTTCAAAGGATGTGACCATTTCACCGTATCTTGATCTCGAACAGCCATTTATACATTTACTCGAGATGTATTGAGAGGAGTGTACTCCTTCTCCTATCGAGGTTCTCGTCGTGGCAATGGAGGCCTAGGAGGTAGATTGTTCTTCTCTTGCTTCTTTCGTTGTGAGGATGAATTATCCGTCCCAAGAGCACCATTGCGCTTCCCATTAGTTTGCTCAATTATTTTCTATGGGCATTTGTGGCTTCATTTGATGAGATTTGAGCATCTACACGATGAATCAAATCGACATATGAATGAACGGTGTCGCGCATGAGTGCCAAATAGAACGGGACAGGGCGAAGGCCTCCAAGAAAAACCCCTCTCAATAGTTCAGGATCTACTCCTGAGATTTGTCGAGCTTCAGTGAAAATTGTTAAAAATACTTCTTCAACGATTCTCCTTCATTTTGACGGATCCCGGAACGGTGGGAAGAATCTTTAACTATCCTTCGATTGGCCACAAATTGCTCGACGAATGCTTTGGCCAATTTGACAAATGAGGAAATCGTTCCGAATGGAAGCGAATAGAACCACATTCAAGCCTGTCCCTTAAGGGTGGCAGGAAAGACCTGGCAGAGGAGTGCATCTGAGGCCCGCTGAATATGCATTATGGTTTTATAGTGGTCGATATGCTCATACGGTTGGGACGTCCCGTCGTAAGACTCAATGCTGGGTACTTTGAATCCAACCAGAATGGGATGCTGAAGTATGGCCTCAGTTAGAGGTGATGACTCCTGGAAGTCTCTCTGTCGGAGAGTTTGCCTCACATCCCCTTGGAGGAACTCTTCCCGTACCAAACTTCGTAGTTCATGATGCAGGGTATTATGAGGGAGCTCAGCAATGTGTGGTTGAGCTAAGTCTTCTGGGATATCTGGAAAAATGCGAGGTTGTCAAGTTGAGGGCGAATGATGTGTAGAACTTGCTGTATCGGCAAGTTCATTATACTATCGTGACTGCGAACGTCTTCTTGGCGGAGGAAGATGTATCTCCGCTTGAAGATGTTCGAGTTGAACATCTTCAGCCAGTGGTGGAGCTTGAGGGAGAAGAACTTCCTGCCGTTGTTGTATTGCAGGTTGTCGAGTCTCTCGTAGGAGTTGAAGGATCTCGTTATGAGATTCTTCCATTTTTTAGATCCTCTCTTCTAAGGAGGGCCCCGAGGTTCCTTCTCCAGTAGTATTTTGCCCACCAGGATAAAAAGAGGCAGACATCGGGCGTCTATGATTAATAAACTGATTTTTAGACTGGTGGGAGTTGAAGCGGGAAACCCCAACAATACGACTGCTATGTCTGTTAACCATTGTAGCAATAATTGAAGTTGTGGAATAATGCTTCCCACAGATGGCGCCAAACTATTGCAGACTAGAATATACGCGGCGATAGAGTCGGAAAGTTCACGTCTCAGTGTTGTACGAATATCTAGCACACAAACAGAAAATGAAAGGACACTAGGACTTTTACGTGGAAAACCCTGGAAAGGGAAAAAACCACGGGGCCATGCCCATTTGAAAAGTTTAACTAGTGTAGTTTGAGATATAAGAGGCTGATTCGTCCAACAAGTTAGGTCGATCAGATTACAGTGAGTTTCTTCTGAATTGAAATTCAATTACAAAGTTGAGCAGAGTTCTGGCGTCACTAAGGAAATTGGGCAGAACTCAGATGTCGTTTGGAAGTTGTATTGAATTATGGAGTCAAGCAGAATTCCAGCATCGAGCAGAATTTTGGTGTTGAACAGAATTCTAGCGTCACTCGGACGTTCGACCAAATTCTGGAGTCGTTCAGGCGGCTGGAAGAATTCTGGCGGCGGTCGAGGAGGAGCTGTTCTCTCCTATCCTTCTCTTCTCTTCTTCTCTTCTTCTTCTCTTCTTTTTGCTTGGGTCCCCTCTCATGAGAAATGAGGGGTCTATTTATAGATTTTCTGGAGTGACATAGCTCATAAATAGGAGTGAGACCAACTGCAAATAGGGAGTGGTCGAATGGACGACTGATATTGAATCCTTTGATCGTGCACCGTTCGTCAGACATTTGAAGGTCTTAATTATGTTGGAATTTGGCAATCTTGGGCTCGTTGGATTTGTCTCGTCGAGCCGTTTGATTTGACTATAAGCTCGTTAAAATCAGAGTCCGTTTGGTAACACAAATTGTGGTAAGAACTTTCCAACAACACTTCGGGTGCTTGATTTGGGCTCATTTGGGCTCGGATTGAGTTGAATTTGGTGTCGTTGGGTTTGTATTTCCGAGATGCTCAGTTTGACTATAAGCTCGCTGAAATCGGAGTTCATGTGCTCCCGGATTTAATTTTTGAAGTTTCCGGTTCGAATAGGGGGAGGAAATTGCTTCCCCTGTCCTTAAAGGGGTTCCACCCCTAGCTATTTGGATGAATGATTTATACAACATTTGAGCGAGACTTATGATAAATCTTGCCAAACAGAATTTGAAGTGATATTAAATCTCACAGAGAAATAAATAATTTGTTTCTTTCTTTTTACCATAAATCTTAAAATTATTAAATTTGGGACTTTGATGAATTTATGAGATTTGACTAAAAAAGCACACAAAAGGGAGAAAGAAGATGAGTACCTTTGCAACAAGAGAGCTCCCATCGTTAATTCTGATCCAATAGAAGAAATCCTCGAACCGTCATGGCTTTTGATCTGATAGGAAGGAAAATCATCGAAGGAGGCCAAGAAGTTTTATATCACATGTCGAATGTCATGAGGAAATTACCTTCACACAAAGCATGCGAAGTCGAAGTACATTTTCGAATAAATGTAGAACAAGAAAAACAACCCAACTTTTAATCTTGCCATTCTGCACTGTTTTTATCTTGTCCTTTGTACAATTGCTGTGACAATTTTTCTCAAAGAATTATTGTACTGCAGTGATTAAATATTTTGAAACTTGGTATGGAATCTTGGGGGGTAAGGGATGCTTTTTAATTTATGTAAAGATGTTCAATGTCTTAACCTCAAGATTTTACCCATCATAAAAGCCAATGAACTTTCCCATACATCCCATGAACAAAAATATCTCTCATGCTTTACGTAATCATATATGAATTCCGATAATTATTTTTATTTCATTGTAACATCTATAGCATAACTCATATTAAAAATAATCATCTTAAATTCTAGATTACATTGCGGAACAATTTTACATAATTTAATAAGATTTAACAACTACTTTATCAAAACCCATCCCGAGTTCGATTCCCTCGAGCGGCAATCGGCCCTTAAGTGGGGGCTCCAAAGTGTCGGCTATGGGTTTGTGGCCTGGGTGGCCCATTAGGTCTGCCGGGGTTTACGGACCGCCAAGCGCGCTCGACGAAGTCGGGTGTGACAGCGGACGGTTCCTTGTCAGAAAAAAAATATTTTAGCAAACAATTTTTAGGATTAACCTTTAATAGAATTTACTAAATCCTAATTTATAAGATTTGCTAGGACGGTTCTTTGTCAGAAAAAAAACTATTTTAGCAAACAATTTTTAGGATTAACCTTTAATAGAATTTACTAAATCCTAATTTATAAGATTTGCTAAGTGCTATGAAAGTTAAATCCTACTTTTGTCTAAGCATTTTAAATCATATTTGTATCCGAGATTTAGTAAATAGTATAAAACCATATTTAGTAAATCCTACTAAAATTAAATTCTAAAAATTATTTGGAAAAATAAGTGTTAAATCCTATTAAATTCGGTGAAAATATTTGACAACATGATTTAAGATAATTAGTTCATTAAAAACTCAAAATTAATTTATTTTTTTAATACAGATTACTGATTCATTTTAATTTAAAGCATCATCAAATAATTATAAATATATATAATATAATTAGAAGCTAATATAATTATTAACTAACTTAACTAATAATATAATTATTATTTAGAATATTAATTATATAACTTAAGTAATAGTATAACTTAGAGATATTAACAAACTTAATAATTAATTAGTAATATAAAATAAATAATTTAATTAATTATATAACAATTATTATTATTTTAAATTGTTATCTAATTATTATTTTGAATATTAACTATTTAATTAATTATTAAATACAATTGACATTTTTAATTATCAAATAAATTATTTATATTTTAATTTCTATTAATTAAATTAAATAGCCAAGTCATTTCTTGGTTGCAGTTCGACTTTGTTTGGCGTGAGGTAGGGTTTTGAACGAGTCTCTAAAAGCCTTCTTCGCCTCCTTCGACGACGTTCCTTCTAGTTCGCAGTTCTTCCTATTCGATCGGAAGTAGCGTCAAGAGCTTGCTCACTGTGAAGGTAACTGTCTTTCTCCCTTTTGCGCGCTTCTTCAGCCAAATCCCGTAAATCTACCGATCTCCAGGATTTAGTAAATCCGGGATTTACAGAGGGAAACGGAGGATTTATTCCGCCGTTAGATCTACCGGCTGCTTAAATCTTGTTTGGCAGGATTTAGGATCAAATCATGCATAAATATTGTTGTCAGACAGCCCCTAAAAGTTATCATTTTTGTTGCGGGAGGAGGATTTTGGCTCTGTTTACATCGTGCTCAAATCGTGGTACTAAGCAGGCCGTAGGGTTTTCCCCTATTATCATCCCCGTTATGCGTGCATTTCGATTCTCTGCCTCTTGCTGCTGCTGCAAGAGATCTTAGCTAATTTTGGTCCTCAATTATCACCTGCAGCCGCAATTACAACCCTTATAATCAGATGAAGAAGCGCGAGGACTTTAACCAGGTTGGGTTTCGTGGTGGAGATTACATACGAAACAGGAAGAAGAACGAGAAGCGAATTGGAGGGAAAGCCCTCTCCCTCGCGGCCTTTGCCAACGCCAAGTCCAGGCCTTCTGGTTACAATCCTTCTTTCATCAGTAAGCACTTCGTTCACTTCTCCCGACACGATGCTAACCCTATTTTTCTTTTTCACGCTATAGTTTATTTAAAAATGAATATCTCATTTTCGTTGTCTCACTCAAATTCAGTGGTGGCTGTAAAATAGGAGTTGAATGTTGAAACATGTCAGTGTTGTAGTTGAAGTAGGACTGTATTTTGTTAGTTATTTGGTTAGCATAAACTTGAGGATGGTTTAGCGAAACTTGAAGATAGGGTATTTGATTGCCCTATTTTTATTTCTGATGTCAAATTTGTTATGATGAAATTCATTTGATTGTGATGTAGTCTGAATCTTTTGCATCAAAAGGAAAATATGATGCATCATGAATTTTGAAATCATTTTATCTCTTCTTTTAATTGGTGTGATATATTATGAACCTTTGCATAGCGTGATGTTACTGAAGATTCAGCTCTCGAGTCTGCAAACTCAGTTGAGGCTGCAAACATTTTATTGAAGCTTTTGGGTGTGAATCTTGCTCTAGTTCACGTTCAGGTCTTTCTCCTGTGTTAGGGATGAAAAAATGCAAAAGACAGAAAGCCCTTTAAGTACCAACACAGATCATGATTCATGAGGAGCAATTTTCATTTTATTTGTTTAATGATGATGTAATGATTTGATTGAGCAAAATTCAATATAGCTCATGATTCAAGCCTAATTTGAGATTTAAGGAAATTAGACTTGCATTAAATAGCTATCCTCTTTATTCTTGAGAGCATGCTAATGAAAATTAGGTTTGTATAGGCAACTGAAATTTGTGAGGTGACTTGGCTTGGAAAATATTTAGAAAGGCCTGCTTGTGATCTCTTTTTTTTTTTTAAACATGCTTGTTTAATGTGTTTTTAACTATACTTTTTATTTTAAAAATAAATTAAGTTGTTTTTAAAAACATTTTAAGTAACTTTTTGGTGTTTTAAGTATTTTTAAAAACAATCATTATTGTCAGCAACCACCATTTGTCCCTACAACACTGCCATTGCACTGCTGGTGAATGTCGGTCGCCAAATAAACTAAAATAACATGTTTTTAAGATATCAAATATATTTTAATTTAATAAATAAAAAAATAAGAAAAATATAAAATAAAAATAAAAAACAAAAATGATCCCAAATGGTCCCTTAATTTTAAATTTTATTCTATAATTTTTTGCTGATTGCACTACTGGTGAATGTCAGTCGCCAAATAAACTAAAATAACATGTTTTTAAGATATCAAATATATTTTAATTTAATAAATAAAAAAATAAGAAAAATATAAAATAAAAATAAAAAACAAAAATGATCCCAAATGGTCCCTTAATTTTAAATTTTATTCTATAATTTTTTGCTGTTTGTTTGTATCATATCGCATGGTTAGATTTATTTTCATTTTTGTTGACTACTATTTTATGTGTTTTGAATGCTTCTATTATTTTCAATTTTTAATTATAGAGTTGATGTTAAATCTTGAACTCCCTGTTGCTGTATTTATTATTGAGATGCTTTAGGGCATCTCCAACAGAACTCCTAACGCTTGAATGGCGTCGCTAGCATGTGCTTTTTCTAAGTGTTTCTTTCTTTTCTATCGGTATCTATGGACTGATCACAAGCCGAAGCATGGTTAGAGCACTTATGTGTCTTGAGCTTATACTGAATTCGGTGAATATAAATCTTGTCACATTTTCCGATATATTTGATAGTCGGCATGCAGAGCTCCAGCGGAACAGTAAAACCTCTGCTATTTGCTTGCCGGGAATAGTGGGACGCCAATATTGGCATTGCACTGTTCATCTCCGTTATTTTTCTGTCTCTACCTAACATGCCGAAGAAACATGCAAAAAGAAGAAAGAACGTTACCTTCGTAAAATTGGAGTTCGATTTGATGAATCACGACATTTTTTTTTATTTCACAGTTTTTTGAAGTCAAAAAATGAGATTTTCGGTTGGAGATGGTCTTAGCTGACAGATTTAGAATGGAAACAAACGTGGAAAAAGTAATATGTATTTTTGTTTCCTTTTAATTGTGTCGTGATTTACTGATTTTCTCATCTGCTCTTTTTTTAATCATCTTTGTAACTTCTACAAATTAATTCTATTATTTTTTTAAGATTCAATTCTAATCTCTCATATCTTGGAGTACCTTGCAAATCTGACTTCTCATTATACGATCGTATTACTAGGTCCTCCATCTTTTCTTTGTCGTTTCGTTTCCAATCATAATTGGGCTCATATAGCACATGTCTAGAAAAGTCTTGATGTTTTGGAACGTCTTTCAATTATCAATCTTTTGATTCTCCCTTTATATTTATGAATTCTGCCGTGAGAAGTTTTGGGTTGTTGGGTTTTGTTGGAAATTCATTACATTCAACAGATCTGATCTTCCTTTGATGGTTGCTCATTAACCTTGTCTCGCCATTGCTCTTCAGTAGTTGCACATGATGTTAGTATGGCTATTATTAACCATTCTTTTTTACTTTTGCCTTCTCGTTTTGTTTAATCTCCTTTGTCTTAGATTTTCATATACATATTTTAGCTACTTCAGCGGTTGAATGAACTTGGAAAAATAGCCATGAATTGGGTTCTATGCATGACATATATGTAATAATGTGTTCCGTTATGACAAACTGAACTAATTAAGCAAGAACTGACTAATGATGCATTCCTTATGGCTGCACAAAACTGTAACTTATTAATATAATAAACAAATCCTTTTTGTGCTACTGCCTTGAATCGTTACGTAACCTAAGGACACCTGTTTGCTTTGATACTTGAAGTTATTATTGTAGCAGAAGTTGGAACTGGGGGTTGGACCGTTGGTTTGTCACAAGCATGCAGTATACTATCCTGTATCCATTCAATTCGAGGGTCAATGAATGCATATTGAAAACTTTTTGTTCCTACCTTTGCAATAGGGTTTGATGTGACCTGTCATTTCTGAGAGGGAATTGTTGGTGCTGCTGCCAATCAATTTGACTAGGCACGACAAGTACCAAAGTGTGCCAACAACTTAAATATATTTGTTGTAGCATTTAGCGGTTATATGTGATATGTTTAATTATCCTAAATTTATTATGAAGAAGATGGAGATATGGATGAAGATATACTTTTTAGAGTTATGATAAAATGATTTAAATGGAGAAGTATATTGAGGGCTTTGTCTGATGAAAAAATATAATAGAATCTTTAAGATAAACTTAATAAAAGCATACAATTAAGTCGACGATATTGTATAGATCTAAATTTTGGGATGTAAATAAGTCTTTGATATCTATGTTGGGGGTGTAATAGAAATGAAAATATTATAATAAATGTGTGACAAAATCAAGAAAGATAAATTAACTAACAATTATATCAAAGAAAATGCTGAAATATCCTCTTATGAAGATAGGGTGAATGAAAATTAGAGTCATGTTTGTAGATGTGCAATGAAAGGTAAGAAATGTGCATGTTAAACGAGTTGATAAAATTTGTATTAAAGGAATAGAATGAAAAATACTTGAGGACCTACGATTACATGGATGGAAGTTTAAAATGGTTTATGAAATATATATCGAACACTGTAGATATCACTCAATAGGAATGGAGGGAAAATAAGGATTCATAATGCGAAACTCAAATAATCGGGATAAAGCTAATGATGTTGATGATGACCATTTCCGCAGTCTGCACTTTGGGAATAGAATTTAACCTATTTAACGATGTGCTGGACAATTGTTGTGCGCTTAGTCTACTCTTGTCATGTTCATTTTATCTCATCAGTCTACATTGTTTTGACCCGAATCATTTTAGGTGCTATAATCTTGCTGTTTTCTGGCGCAGTTGATATTGCAATGAAGCTAGTGAATTTTTGCATTTTTAGCCATATGAGCCGATTTATATTAAGGTTGAAATCACATGAATAAGATTTTTGATTCATTTTGTCGTTTTCTCTCTTTTCCAGAAAAGCAAAGGGAATTCTATAGAAATGCAAAATGCATTAACAAGTTTAAGAAATCGGTCAAGCGAGACAGCCAGTTTGAGGAGAGGCGTCATACCCTGCCAAATATTGAGGTTTGCCTTATTTCTTCATTTAATTCAGTAAGCCACCTCTGCTGTCTCTGTTTACAATATAGATTGAGAAATGGCTTTTGATTTCATTAATTGTGCAATCTCAGTAACCATCTCTGATCAGCCTATTTATTTGTAGAAGTATCATTTCTTTCATTTAATAATTGAATCTTGTGCATTTATGAAAAGCCTTATTGGAACCCCATTATCTTATTTATGAAAATGAAAAACATTATGCATTATATTCTTTCGTGAACCTGACTACGAAGCACTGCAGGCCACCAATGAAGATGAGAATGTGCTGAAATCCCGAAAGATCAACAAAAAGAAGAAAACCAGCTTGAAGGCTTTAGGCGAAGAAGTTGAGGAAAAAAGAGCTGAAGCAGAGAAACTGAGGATGGAGAGAGAGGCAATGATCCAGGCCAAGAAGGAAGAGAGGGCAAAAGCTGAAGCAAAGCGCAAGTTCCTCAGAGATAACATGTCCAAGAGAACTCGATCTGGGCAACCTGTGATGAAATACAGGATTCAACATATCCTTGAAGGATTGCTGGAAAAACCGTGACAGCTAAGTTTTTGTATTCATCTTGTGTAAACTGTTGCCACCTCAGTGCTCTTAGACTCTTACATGTTCATCTCAATGAAACACTTATGTTATTGATATGTAATAGTGTGTAATGCCATGAATTTTACATGCTCTTTTATAGGGGTTGTTAGTTCGGGTTTGTGCGATGGAATTAGGTTGATCCAAATTTGATTGATTTGAATGCGTTTGACTTGAAACAAACTCATTTATCATATAGGTCAAAATGTTCTACTTGGATCCGACTAACTTGAATATGACACATATAACTAATTTATGATATAGATAATATAATTCTTTTATATCAACATGACCCATTTAACTTAATGAGACATGTTTAACTCGAACACAACATATTTATTTAACTTGTATTCGGATGTTAATTTTGAGTTTTTGGGTCAATTTGAATCTCACTCGAAAAATTAATCAGTTCAAGATTTTTGACCCGAATTTGATTAGAAAACTAATTGAGGCTTCGTTTGGGACGGCTTTTTTATTGCTTTTTAAAACGGAGTTTTAGTACAAAAATAAAAAAATTTGTACTAAAACTCCGTTTTAGAAAGCAATAAAAAAGCTGTCCCAAACGAACCCTGAGTCACACAAATCTGATTTTTTTAGTAGGGTTGAGTAAGCTTGTTAGGTTGGGTCATTTATTAACACTCTCATTCTTCCATACATTAAATATTACTTCTCATGTTTAAGATGATACACCCATGTATGAAAATGTCCAAAGTGCCCAATACATTGCATGATATTACCTTAAGAAAATAGATTAACTTAAGATAATTGCATGATTGCTTCATTACAAGCCCTCGGGCTAGAAGAACAATAAAATTATGTGCTATTAATCAAGTTTGTGAAAATCGGACCGGACAAGGAACCGGAAGGAGAGAAGGAATCGGAAGGAGAGGTTCAAGTTTGATCGGTCGAACCAGAGTCGAACCAGATGATGTAATAAATAATAATATTATTAAAAATTAATAACATTAATAGGATAATTACGAGAATGTAATCTCAAATCATATAATTTTAATATATTATCTCTCAATATAATTAAATTAAATTGAAATGATGAATATATTATAATATAATTATAACTTATAAAACATATAGTTTATTTATATTATATTTATGAATATCTAATAATTTAATTATAGTTATAATAAATGATATTCTTATAATATACATTATAATAGATTAAAAATTTTAATATAATATATAAATTTATAATATTAAATTTATAAATGTGTAATAAGAATAATATTTAATATAATATATAAATTTATATTATTAATTCATATAATATACATTATAAAAAATTTATAATAAACTAAAAAAATTTTGCCAACAAACTCAAATTTATGCCCAACAAGACAAATTTATGGCCCAATCAACTCAAATTAATGGCCCAATAAAGCCCTAAACTCACATTCAAGCTCATATAGCATTCATGTAACATTTAGTCCCACATCATGAAGTAGTATGATATGATTTACTTTTAGCTCTTTATATAGTTTTCTCTTTTCAAACAAAACTTATTTTATGAGATGACATCCATATATTTTGGTATTAAAAATTTCATTATTTAGAAAAAAAATTATTTTAAAAAATGAAATGAAGTTAAAATATTTTTATTTATATTTATTGAAAATAAAAATTTAAAATTGGTTGGTTCTTTTGAACCTGGACCGGTTCGCTAGTTCATCGGTTGAATGTCAGTTCAGGCCAGTTCTCTGTGAAGCCGGTTATTGAACTGGATCGGATAAGACAACTAACGGTTCTCGGTTGATATCCGGTAATTTTTAAAAACCTGGCTATTAATAGGAAGAGATCTGCAAAATACTGGACTACTAGTCAAAACATAATCCTCAAGTCAAATTTATGATGTGTTTGGAGTGGCTGTTCTTTTTTTAAAGATGATTGAAAATTATTATGGAAAATTAGCTTTTTTATATGATGTAAAAAGCAATTTCCTATCATAGAAATTTCCTGAAAATTAATGAGAAAAATAATAGCAAAACAAAACTGTGATTGCTATTTGAAAAGAATAATAAGTAAGAAATTTGTAAAAAGCAATTTCCTATCATAGAAATTTCCTCTAAATGCGCCATATTCACCCTTTGCTTGGTACGCTAGCGGCCGTGACCGTGGCTCGCGTACTGCTGATTGGTGTATTATTGGTCACTGGACGACTTCTGTGTCCGATCTCCACACATAATAATTTATCCTAAAACTCTCCTATGTGTGTCGGACTAAAAAAGTTGCATAAAGTCATGAATACAATTAAGTTAGAATGAGAATTTGAGTTGGATTGAGTTTTGCAAAATTTTTTAAATTTTGTATTATAAATTTGTTATAATGTATATTATAAGAATTAATAATATAAATTTTTAATATTATAAAATTATATATTATATTAAATATTTATCTCATTATAAATAATAAATATATATATATATATATCTAATGCTCATATATTTATATTTATAATATACATATACTTATATCGATATTAACGACTAATCAAGCTTTATATCTGCTTTACTGAACTTGTTCAATAGGCTTATTGAATTAACTATATATTACTTTTAAAAATTTTATTTATTAAATAATTTATATAATAATTGGAAAGTTTAAATATTTATTTTGTCATCCGATTCAATCCCGATCGAACTCCGGTGGAACCATTGAACCTTTAAAATCTTGTTCTTCCCATTCTCTGTCCGGTCCAATTTTAACAGCCTTGGTTGAGATAGAACAACTTGTATGCAAGAAATATAATACTCCATTACAATTAAATGTTTGATTTATTTATTTTATTTACTCATTCTTATAAACATTAAAGTCTTCCATATAACACATAAATTAGCCGTTGTCCCCATCTTGCTTTTCATTAAGCTCCTCGTACCACTCTTGAGGCTCTCCAAAACCCCAAGATGGGCCCACCTTTTACTACCTCTAGTGTCGGGCTGTAGTAGCCCAATGTAATGTTGGATTCTTATGAATTGGCCCTTGTGTTCTTATGAATTGCGAAAATTTGTTGAAAGTGTAGATGAAACCTAGAACACCAGATTTGATTAGTTCTTGAAAGGTTGAATGTGATTAATTTGTCAACTAGTAGAGTGGTTAAGCTATATAGCCAGCTTAGTTCTTAATGAGGAGTTAGTTGATCAGAATGTGCATGTGTGTGAGAGAGAGAGAGAGAGAGAGAGAGAGAGAGAGAGAGAGAGAGAGAGAGAGAGATGACTTATGACCTAATGAAAGGATTTGAAACCTTAAACCTCTAATTATAGTTCAACCATCAATATAGACAATTAGAGCTATTATAAAATTCAAATAATAATAAAATAATTGAACATATATCTTTTTATCAAAATGTATGTACATTAATCTAGTTCAAGAAATTATATACTTAAAAATAATCAAATAATGATTTACAAGATAATACCTCAATCACTTAGCTTCGGAAGGTCGTACCTCTACACCTTTCTAATATGTTGGTCATTTACCTTTACCTAAAATGTCAGAAAATATCATAGAATGGCATAATTAGCTCAATAAACTTCTTTCTCTAATCCATTACAAATATAAATATATAGATAAAAATATTACATAAAGTTAATTAACTAAAATAAATACAATAACTTGTAAAGAGTAAATAAAGTATTAACGAAACAAGACTTTCGAAGGTTTTAGTGTTTACTTGGTTTCAAAGTTCTTACTTATACCTTGAAGCTACTTTCCAAAGAGTTCATATGAAACACAAAACACTTGCCATCACCACAAATCACTTGCTATAAGAGGTTTACATGCACTTGATTTTCATATTATCAATAGGGTTTATACATAGAGTTAGAAACTACTAACATTCATGCAGCGTATGATCTATACTTGATTCATTAAACTATTAACTTATACAATATAATATAATGTTTATAATACGCCTATCCTGATGCTTATTTATAACTCCACTTTCAACAATGTCTCTCTTTAACCTCCCACACCTGCATGTAGAAAGTGGGGCCGAAATCAGAATAAAAAACAAAAAGTGCCACATAAAGTTTCACACTTGCTTTTAGTAAGTTGTGTCAGAATCCCTTCCGTATTAATACTAAGTAGTTGGAGCTAAAACATAACATATAAAGCCCTTGTAATATATCACAAAGTGTAATTTTTCGCATATCAGAACATCTCTAATGTATTGTTATGAACAATACATTTGCAAATGCAATGGTAACTAAATTATAATTTCAATGCAATATTCAAATAATGCCTAAATTACCAATAAAAATCCTTATTGCTTATATGACCTTATACTCACTGAAATTTTCCCATTAAAATTTTAACTTCAGAGGAGTATTCACATGAACATTTTAAAATTTTTATATAAATATTATAATTGCCAAAAAAGCCTTAATCCAATTATATACTAAAAAATAGGCATAAAAAATTAGCTGGTAAAAATCTATATTCATATAATCAAAATATTCAGAATAAAGCATATGGCAACATATTAAAGTTATGTAGTGAAAACATCATAAAATTTGAGAAAAATATAGTTTTATCAATAGATTTTTATACAATAATTAGAAATAAAATTAGGGACAAGGAATCAAAAGTTTATCTTGTGCTATACTAAATTCCTAGCTGGCTTGACTGATAAAACTTTAGCTTTGGCCTCTAAATCCTCCCCCTTCCTTTCTCTATGCTATCTTCTCCTCCCACTATTCTCTTCTTCTATTATGAGATGGCTAGGAGGGTGAATTAGGAAAATGGGCTTAAATTTTTTATTATTTAAAAAAATCACTAATCTGGCCTAGCACTATGATGCTAGCCTCCTTAATGCCACAATGCTCTTGTAAAATCGTCAAAATTATCCTAAAATCTTATCATTGGGGAGTTTTACATTGTAGCATTGTTACATAGTGCCATTGTGCACGTTCAAATACTTGTCCTCATCCAATGCATGTGCATAATTGGTGTCGTAGTGTTCATAAAGAAAATCTAATGAATTAAAAATTCATTTTTTTAACTTGCTTCTTGACTTCCTTAAGGGTTCATTAGCCACTTTAGTACTTATAATTACCAATCAAGTCAAAAGTGATAATCATTAACATACATTATCATGGTTTT